CACGTTTTAGCTGTGAATTTTAAATGAATCAGTACCGTGCTTTTTGTACCATTGTTTGATACACGACATTCAACCTTCGAGAGCTAATTAGATTTTTCTAGTTAGGAGGGGAAATGTGCGCAACAAATACAGAACTATAATACAAGTAATTCTCAACTTATAGCTTTGTAAACTGTGGACCGAATATACTGAAGTGCAGAGTAAGAGATCCATTTCTCTGGCAGATCTTTTTTCTCACCTAATACTGCCTTGGGAGAAATTTTATTGAATAGGACTACATAATGTTGACCGAATTCATTATAAGACCTGAATTTTTTCAGGTCATTCCCCATGAGGCCAGCTAAGATGATTCGTTGTGTTACCTCTGATTTAATTTCCTCACCCGAAACATTTGCCACAGTGTGATGATGCATCCTGAATAAATGAATTACAATGAACCATATTGGCCGAGCGGGTGATTGATTTTAGGGTCAAAAATAAGAAAGCAAGTATTGAAGTCGTACCTATCGGTCAACTTGGATTGATAGTATCAGAACCTAATGACACGGTTACCTATGGAGACTGAAGAGAAGGATGTTATCGCAATTCTACCTTGGGCACATCTAGTGTAAAAAATGATCACATAGTAACTGTGTTTAGCAAATATACTAGGATGGGGCAGTGTACACACCACGAGAGTTTTTGGTTCGCTGCGATCTAAACCAAACATAACTGATTATCGAGCATTCTGAGCGAAAAAGATATACTCCTCAGATGCTCTGAAATCTATGGTCCGGGCACACATAGCACGACTGAAAGAACAGTTGAGCGAAACTGTTGATAAACCAACACATTGAAGTCAAAGGTAATTGGGTAAAGCTACTATGAGTAAGTGTGCTGTTTTCGTGGTTGATTTCGAGACATTTTGGAACAATAGTGAACAAAATTAAGTTTCACTGTTCACATGTTGACATCGTTCCCTAGACGAAAGCGTTCATTGTACAATAGGCACCGATTAAACTTCATTACCAGTCCCTGTGTTTTGTTTGACGTCATGTTGTAAGTCATTGTTGTATCCCATAGATACGAAAAACTTTTGCTTGTTTTGGTTTGGAAACATCAATAGCTCAAGTTACGAATACCTGTTCAGCAACGGACTACGTTCAACATTTTCGGAGCACAGCTCAGACGTAGAGTCCAAGGAATGTTTCACTTCACGGCCGAGGTAATAGTAATTGTAATCATGAAGTCAGCTTTATGTAAGCAGTGAAACCTTTGTTACCATTGTCGACAATTTTCTTTCCTTTTGCAATCCCTTAGACAGTTGATTGTCAAATTTATTTCCAAATGCCCACCTTCCCCATTGCAAACTCTGACACCTTTTCTTGCCAAGCCAAGCAACGCATCACAGAAGCTCATTTTGCTGCCAAGTTATCGACAAGGATCTCATAAGCTAGTACTCAAGCTATGACGATGTAAAACTATGGAGCGATCGCTCTCTATGTACATATGCAGCTATTTCTCGAACTTGTGCTACACTCTGACTTTCGTCAGATCCCCTTCTTCTAAGACCTAGGATTTGAGCCTTATTCAAGGAATTGAATGCGATATCACCCCACAGCAAACACAGCATATCTGTGATAGTATGTTGTTACTCTTCTTAGTTGAATACCTTATTGATTGATTTACTTTGCTCCATATGAAAAAATGTTTGCTACTTAACATACATTTATAAACCAGAATACATGTCCTCATGAAAACAAAAGTCAATTGTTAGAAAGAATGAACTTCCATACTACTCGGCATCCACTATATTATTATTCTTAGCTGTAAAATTCAGACTACTATAGATTTTATCTTGAAACTCGGGTCGAGCCAACTCAAATGGTGAGACAAGACAATAAACCAAATTACAGTGGGAGATAAATTTGATAATAAGTGTTCTTCAACCATGGCTATCGATACACAAGTACTAGATTGAAAACTGCAATATAATTCTGAATTTCGAGTTCCATCAATACCTATATATATATATATATATATATATATATATATATATATATATGTGTGTCTG